CAAATAAGTCCCTCAAAACTGAGAGTTGTGTCTCTCACACACCTATGATCCCAGAACTTAAGATGTGGTGGCGGGAAGATCCATTCAAGAGTGCAAGGTATGTGCCAGGTATGGGGACACACACCTTTAATCCCTGTACTTGGGAGGTAGAGACAAGATGATCCCTACAATTTTCAGGCCAGCCTGGTCTACACAGTGAGTTTCAGAATAGTCAGGGCAATGTTATGAGATCCTGTCTCAAAAGCAAAAGAAAGACATTCAAGGCTAACCTACAAAAGGAGTTCAAGGCCATCTCTAGCTATGTGTGGTCTTGCCTCAAACAGCAGAAACAACAAGATTCTGGAGAGCTGGGTCATGGCTAAGAGCAGATATTGCTTTTGGAGAGGACCTGGGTTTGATTCTCAGCACCCACATCAGGCAACTTGCAAGTGTCAGTAACTCCAGCTTCAGGGTATCTGGGGATCAGACGCCCTCTTCTGGCCTCCAAGGGCACCTGCATGCATATGCACATATCCCCACACAGACACGCTCCCATACACACAATTAAGAATGAAGACAGAGGCTGAAGAGATGGCTCAGCAGTTTAGAGAACTTACTGCTCTTGCAGAAGGCCCAGGTTTGGTCCCTAGCACCTACATACTAGCTCACAACCACCTCTAACTCAGTTCTAGGGGATCCAATGCCCTCTTCTGACTTTCTCTGGTGTTGCAATCATGTCATGCAAATACATATATTCAGACACACATATAGTAAATAAATGTTTTAAGATAAATTCACACACACACACACACACACACACACACAAACAACTGGTGAGGTAGATGGATCTCCGTGATTTTGAGGCCAGCTGGTCTACGTAGTCAATTCTAGACCAGCCTAGACTACATAATAAGATTCTGTCACAAAGGAAAAAAATAAAAATAAAAAAATAAAAAATAAAAACCACTGGAAACTGCTCCAGAGGAGTCACTGGAACTCCAAGACAATAAAGAACCAGATAAGGTATACCAAGTGGAAAATTAGCATCACACATATGGCGGTAATAGTTAACACCCACCTATAAAAACCTGTTTCAAGGGGTAAAATAATGAGCATGGCTTTTCTCTTAAGGATTCCAGGAGCTCTCACCTCTAGTGTCCTCATGTGCTCAGCAGTGCCAGACACAGCAAGAGCCTTTACAACTTTCCTTCCTGCCCAGGTCCTTATATGTCCTTATAGAAGCCAGGCTGTGGTGGCACATGCCTTTAATCCCAGCACTTGGGAAGCAGGAGGATCTCTGTGAGTTTGAGATTAGACTGGTCTACAAAGGGAGTTCCAGGATGGCCAGGGCTACACAGAGAAACCCTGTCTCAAAAAAACAAAAATAACAACCAAAGTTCTTAGTAGATACAATTTTAAAAAATGGCATATTGATTTCAAATTTTCAACAGTGCCTACAAATTACTTTATTCCATCCGCCTGCCCTGCTCCTGTTCTCATGTCCCTGGTTATTTTCCTGCAAATCTCTCATTCACCCTTCCCTGCGAAACAAAGCTCCCCCTCTCTCCCCATAATACAGTCTTACTCATGGCTCTCTAAAATCGTGTCTACCAACGCTGTGTTTAGAAGGGATAAGAGAAGAGGGGTTAACTTGCAGGTTGACTTCAAAATCATTATAGAAACTCATCAGCTTAGGGGGTTGGCAAATGATACCAATCAAAATGATATGAAAATGCTGGAGGGACCAATGGCTGAGGAGGTGACGAGCTCTATCACCACCAACTCTGGCCGCCAGAGTTTATCTCTGAGAATCCACAAGGTGGGGGGAGAGAAAGGACGTCAGCAATTATCCTCCGACTTCCACAAGCTCTGGATACCCACACTCGTCTATACACACAAGAAAGTCCGTTTATCTTTCTGTTTGCTTTTGGTTTGTTTTGGTTTTGGTTTGTTGTTTTTCAAGATAGGATTTCTCTGTGTCTCTTGAGCTTTCCTGGAACGCTGTAGACCAGGTTGGCCTCTAATTCACAGAGATCCACCTGCCTCTTCTTCCTGAGTTCTGGGACTAGAGGCCTGTGCCAGCACCGCCTGCCCCCCCCAAAAAAAATTATTTTATGTGTATTTGTGATTGTCTATGTGCTTGTATGTGCTCCATGTGTGTGCCTGGTGCTTGTGGAGGTCAGAAAAAAGCGATGAACCACCACAATCTGGACTGATATATATATATATATTAAAAGAAATGAACTGGGCATGATGGCACACCTTGCCTCTCATACTTCTAATACTTGGAAAGAAAGCAATCTCTTTGAGTTTGAAGCCAGCTTGGTCTACATAGTGAGATCCTGTTTCAAAAACAAAAAACAAAGACCATATTAGGGTAGGTGTGGGGTAGTTAGAATTTGGTAAGCTATCATAAAATTACTAATTTACGTGAGAAACTGTAAAAGTATTAAATTTGTGCATTTTAAATCTTTGCACAGCTGAGTACAGTTGTAGCTAGCTTAGGGGGAGCTGGCACGCAGAGCACGCGTCGAACTATTTGCCAACACTGCAAAGTTCTGGAAACCCTCCCAGATCTTCGCATTTAGAGCCGGAACCGAGTCCTGCTGAGCCGTTGAGAGACAGTAGAATGTCGCCCCACCCGCCACCTGCTCCTACCCTGGGCACAACAGCAAAGTCACGGAAGTCACCCGCCTGCTGCTACAGAGACCAGCACACCTCCCAAAAGAGCAACCCCGCCCCGGCCCCGCCCTGGTACCACGCCCGCGCCTTGATTGGCGGCACACCGTTTGCTGTGCGCGCAAGCGCAGCACGGCCACTCCGTGCTCTGTAGAAGTCACCTCATTTGCTGAACGGTTGGGAGCTGTAATACTTCGAGTTTGGTCGCCGCCCCCGCAAAGCAAATTCTGCGCAGGAAGGTGGCCACTTCGGTATTCTGAAGGGCAGGCAAGGACATTGGGTAGGGTCCCTCCTTGTGAAAGGGAACGCTTCTACAAGGTAAAAGCCAGGGCAAGGTGATGGAGAATTTGGGGTGATCCCCGGAGCCTCATGACTCCTCCTTTGGCCGCTGAAGAGCAGAGCCGAAGTAGAGTATGTCTTGGGGCTGTGCCCTATAGCTCAGGCGCTTGTAGTACTGCAAACTCCAGTAAGTGCAGAAAATTGTCAGAATGGTTGAGGCTACAACCCCATCATCAGAACTCGGAGATCCAGGCCACAGTTATTGTCTGACTTTGAGATAAAGTTCAGATTCTAAGTAGCTCCAGCCCTTGGATTACCAAGCCGTTCATGACAGTGTTCCGCAAGAACCAAGCACAACCCTCTGAGTTTCTCGCCGGGTTTGTCTTTCTGAAGGAGACCCACTTCCTCAAACCCGAGTTCTCCACCTCTCTACGTCTGGCCCTAGAGCCTCTAGTTTGGCCGCTGAGAAATTCAGCTTTCTAGTTGGTCTCCTGGTCAATCACCAAAGGAGATCTGAACCGATGGGTGTGATAGCCATACTTGGGCTATGGTTGGGAGTTTGGATAATATGCACCTGGTACAATTATGAACGAAAGTACTGTAAAGTAGTAAGTGTATTTTCACCCATATGTACACAATCTGTAGGCATGGCATTGCCTGCTCATAAAGCGTATACGTGGTCAATTTTAATGTATACTAAATAACGGCTTCAAAATGTCCAATCACCGAACCCTACTATATAATGTTCCAAGGCAGAAGAGGATTGAGGTTGTTGATCAACTGACATTGAGGAGTTCGGTAGTAGAGCACTTGCCTAGCATGTGTGAGGACCCTGGATTTGATCCCTTGCACTGTAAATACAAAAAGTCAAAAATGGGAACATAATTCTGGACTGTGTGAGTGGTCTGATTTGAGGAATTGGAGAAGCACATAAGAGAACCAGAGAAAGGGTAGCATGACAGAGGGGCTTTAAAATGAAGGAAGGAGCTGGGTGTGATAGCACATGTCTTTAATCCCGGTGCTCAGGAGGCAGGGGCAGACCGATGTCTGTGAGTTTGAAGCCAGCCTGGTTTATATAGCAAGTTCCAGGTCAGCATCCGTAACTCCACCGTCAGAGGATCTGACATCTTCTGGCCTCCCCAGGCACTGCACACACATGATACACATACATACATGCAGGCAAGACTCACGAAAAAAAACAAATAAATCTTAAAAGTAATAAAAATGAAGGAAGATCATGAGCCAAGACTATGAGGAAACCAGGCCTAGTGGTGTGACCTGTAATTCCAGCACTCAGGATGTGCGATCAGGTGTGATCGTGAATTTGAGTCCAGTCTGAGCTACTTAGCATGCTCCTGTCTCAAGGGGGAGAAAAAAAGAAGCCACCTCTAGAAATAGGAAAGGCTACGAGTGTGAAGCCATCCTGGGCGACAGAACAAGACCCTTGCTCAAAACACAAATGTAAATGAATGCAGTCACTATTCAGTGAGAAATGGGCCTACATTAGGGAGACATAGCCACAATATAGTCTATGGTCCGTTCTATTTACAAGAACCCTCCTACCCCTCAGCTTGTCATATCTGACAGCCATATGCCCAGTTAAGAAAATAAGGTAGACTGGGTGGTGGTGGTGGTGGTGCACGCCTTTAATTCCAGCACTCAGGAGGCAGAGGCAGGTGGATCTCTGTGAGTTCGAGGCCAGCTTGATCTACAGAGCAAGTTCCAGTACCGGTTCCAAAGCTACAGAGAAACCTGTCTCAAAAAAACAAAACAAAACAAAACAAAAAAGATAGAACCAATTAAGAGAATATAATGTTATCTGCTTTTCTAAGGGGGGTTGTTATTCAATAACTCATTCCTTCAAGGCATGGGTTATTGACTGTGATTATAAGTATTACAGCTAAGAATATGTTTATGATTCATATCCTGCCTAAAATACTGTCGGTAAAGGTAATTAGATAATTATCATGTATCACCAGTGACAAGCAAGGCTGAGCCAGAAATAAACATGAAGAAAGATCATCACAAAGTAAAGGCAAACACCAAACACGGGAGAGAAGAGATTGTAGGTGAAACTTTCCCAGTGCGTTTTATTCACAAGGCAACTATTTTCACAGCGCCGTAAGAACATATTAAGTTCTTGACAGCAAGTAGAGGCTGAACGTGCTCACTTGTCCTGTCCGGTCTCACAGTGAGAGGCTGCCTTTACCCTGTTGGAGATTTCATAAACTTGGACGACAAGTTTCAGCTGATTAATGGCTTCCTTGTCTGCTGTTTTCATGTTCAATCCCAACATCTTCATAATGGTTTCTCGAAAGTCGGCAAGCTGGAAGGAACCACCGAGAAAATCAATACGTCATTGCCGTGAGTCACCCACTCATTGTGGACGATGAAATTGGTGCAGACTGAAATGTAATTCTATGAACCGTTTCTTTAATGCAGTACATCCCGTGGGCGGGGGTGGGGGTGGGGAGATGGTCAGAGGGTCTTGTCATGCAGCTAAGCTAGGCTTGAATTCACCTTCTCCCTCTGTCCCCCAAATGCTGCAATCGCAACCAGGCTCACACCATGCCTAGGTGCAGAGATGTTTTCAAGATAGAAAAATCCGTTCGATCACAGGACTTCTTCATTATTCTCTCTCTCTCTCTCTCTCTCTCTCTCTCTCTCTCTCTCTCTTAGATTTTCGAGACAGGGTTTCTCTATGTAACAGCCCTAACTGTCCCGGAACTAGCTCTTGTAGACCAGGCTAGCCTTGAACTCACAGAGATCCTCCTGCCTCTGCCTCCCGAGTGCTGAGATTAAAGGCGTGCGCCACACTGCCCAGCTATTATCTCTTTTCATTTTGTATTTCTGTACATTAAACCTAATTTTATTACTACTTACATTTCATTCATAATGTAATGACTTTTTTACTTTTATTCATTTGCACATGCCTGTGTGGGGGTCATCTTTCAGGGGTCAGTTCTCTGCTTCTACTGTGTGGGTCCCAGGGCTCGAACACAGGCTGGCAAGGTTGGTGGCAAGCGCCTTTACCCCGGTGAGTCATGGCGTCAGCGCATTTTTTTTGTATTTGTTCTATGCTCAGTCTAGCCTAAAACTCCAGCCTGCACTGGGTACTTCTGGCGTGTGCTCCTGGGTGTGACAAACTGCTTTTTTGGCTTCTGATTCTCTTATGATGACAGCAGCCTTCAATGCCTGTCTCTCCATCCATACTCCAAAGGACAAAGAAACCAACGAGGACACCCACAAAGCCAACTGAAGGAAAGTTACGGCTTTCACTTCGTATGTGAGGGGGACATGAATTTCCTGAACCAGCAGAGGCAGCTCCAGAGGGCAGTGAACTCGATGTGATGGTGTGGCACACGGACAGCCTTAATCCCCGCACGCAATGCTGCTAACAAGCCTGAGACCTGGGGGATTGGCACACTGGCCAGTGGGAGATGAAAACAGAGAGGTTTGGACGCATGAGACCAGAGATGGCAGTTCTAGAAGGCAAGATTTCTGGGGGAGGCTGCAGAGTCTCTGTAAGGTCGCAGAAAAGAGGAACAACAGACCTAAGGCAATATACGAAAAGAGAGTACTGCAGAAGGAGACATCGCGTAAACCCTCCCCCTCCAAATAAAAGACTTCAAGACACCACTTGCCCCTGAAACACCAGCTGTAGCTCAAGGCCTGATTAGGCTACAGAAGGAGTTCAAGCCCAGCTCAGGCAACTGAGTGAGACCCTGTCTCAAAAGGACGAGTTTAAGGGGCAGGGTTCAGAGCTTGGTGTGCTTTTCTAGCATCTGAGAGTCCCTGCATCCGTACCAGTACCCAAAAGAAGAAAGAAAGAGAGAAACAAAAAGGAAGAAAACTAAAACATGCGCCCTTGCTTTCCCAACAGAAGAGGGCAGTGTTCAGCTAAAATAATCATCTAGTCTAGGAACCCGGTAAGTGCTCCAAAGCAGGAAGATGGAAAGATGGGGCAAATACAAGGACTTTAAGATGAATAAGGGGCTGGAGAGACTGCTCAGCACTTACGAGCACATATTCCTCTTTCAGACGACCAGAGTTCAAGTCCCAAACTGCAAGCCAGGTCATCTGTGACTGATCAGGGGCTCTGGCCTCTGAGAACACCACACACGCAGCAGCACATGCTCACACAGACATACTTGTGATTAGGAACAAAGCAATCTTTAAAAAATATAACGTGGATAAATAAATAACAAGTTACATGGAACTACCTTAGGACAAAAACAGAAAGACAGTATTGTCTGACTCGTTGAGGTGATAAAATGCACTCCTGTCACAGAACCGAAATATCAAACTACATGTTTCTCAGTGGCCGTGTTCCCTGTCATATGGGAAACAACAGCTGCTAGCCGAACAGACACCAAGAAGAGAAGAAAGGCCTTGTAAGGGGCTAGGTGCTGATTGCAGTGTCCAGGGACACATCTGGCCTTGTAAGAGTAGTCCAAATCATGTCTGATGCCATTAGCCAAAATGTCCCTTTTTGTCAGAGTTAGTTAGCTAAAGTCTAAGTTGAGGTGCGTGTTGATCGCGTCAATGAAATCTGTTTCTAACATAGTTGTAGAGACCTCTTGCTCTCGTCCTGAGACGCCCTGCGGTGCACTCCTGATGGTGGGGGGGGGCTCAGGAGGGCCCGGGGCTGGCACCTGGCGGACCCTCTCCTTCTCCGCTCTCGCTGCCTGCGCTGCCGAGTCTGATGCGGTTTTCAGGTTGTCTGTTTTGACAGCGGTCTTGTCCTTCACGGCTTCAACTTTCGTTACAGATTGCCTGAGCCTCTCAATTGTCTTGTCCTGTGTGTGGATAAAAGGGAAGAGGAAGGAAGGAGGACAATGTGCTCAGATCTGGAAGTAACAGACTAGTCAGCTCAACTTTGTGTTGAGACAGGGTCTCAGGACAGAGTCCTGGCTGGCCTGGAACTTGGTAAATAGACCCAGTTAACCTTGAATTTGCAGAGATCTTCCTGCCTCTACTTCCCTAGCCCTGGGATTAAAGGCTTGTGATACCATTCCTGGCTCACATGCCTTTAAAAAAAAAAAACTTCATAAAAATACATGGAAAGCAAATCTTTCCGGTTTTTTAATTAAGAGTCTCTTTCTTCACTTTAATATTCATTAATAACCTACTTCCTCCTACCAGTTTTATATACTGAACTCATGGAATTTAAAGAGGTTTAACGGATTATGTCCTCCACGATATTATACTCTATGTTAACCTAATTTTAAAACAGAAAATAACTTCTTTAGCAGCAGATAAATATCCTGATAAACTTCCCAGCAGTCTATTGCCCATCTGCGATGTAGGTGGGCCTTCTGTCTATGAGTTATTTTCATTGGTTAATAAAGAGACTGCCTTGGCCCTTTGATAGGACAGAAAATTAGGTAGGCGGAGTAAACAGAACAGAATGCTGGGAAGAGGGCAATGAGGCAGACGCCATGGAGCCAGCCACCAGGTCAGACATGCTGAATCTTTTCCAGTAAGCCACCACAGATTATTAGAAATTATTAGAAATTATTAGAAATACAGATAATTAGATAATTAGAAATTAATTAGAATTAATCAAGATGTGAAAGTTAGCCAGTAACTAACTCTCTAGAGATAATGGGCCAGCCAGTGTTTAAATGAATACAATTTGTGTGTTGTTATTTCCGGGGCTAAGCTAGCCGTGCGGAGCCGGGTGGGACGAAAAGCAGGCCTGCCCGCAGCCCCTTACTACACATCTGGTCAATTTAGCACATGTTTGACTTTAGATACAATACAACTAACTCTTGAAATAGTATAGAAGCTAGGAGGCCCCAAAGCAGAAGAAAAAAATTAATTAAATACAAAACAATCGATTAGCCCAATAAGGCACTATAGTAAAAGCTGAGTGTGCACACTTGTGACCTCAGCAGTTCACAGGCTGAGGCAGGAAGATTAGAGTTCTAGACCAGCCCGAGCTATTTGGTGAAATCCTTTCTCAAACAAACACCAGAGGAAAACCAAAAGACGGCATTGGAGAGATGACCCAGCCATTGTGAGTGCTTACAGCTCTCGCAGAGGACCTGGGATTGGTTCCTATAACCCACATCAGGCTGCTCACAGCCTCCTGTAACTCAAGCTCCAAGGGACCCAATGTCCTCTTCTGAGCTCTGTGTCAGTTGGGTGCATATGGAACACATAAACTCATGCAGGTGCATGCACATAAAATAAATATATATAAATAAAGCTTTAAAAATGAAAACAAAAAGCAAGCAGTTTATTGTTGTGACAGTTTAACTTGTAGTTACTTGAGCAATAGTGAGCTATGCATGGGTTTCCACAGGATTAACAACATTTTGTCTGGGGGCTTCACAGATATCCAATTTATTGTCCTATAGCAGTGGTTTTCAACCCTAGGATTGCAAATCCTCTGGGGGTCAAAGGACCCTTTCACAGGGGTTGCCTAAGACCATGAGAAAACACAGATACATATGTTATAATTAAACAGTAGCAAAGTTGCAGTTATAAAGTAACAACGAAATAATGTTAGAGTCACCACAACATGAGGAACTGTATTAAAGGGTCAAAGCATTAGGAAGGTTGAGAACCACTGGGTTATAGGCTTTAATATTATTTTGCATGTGTACAAAATCATTTTAACTGTATGTTAATGCATGTGTGCATGCATATGTGCCTGCCTCTGTGTGTGTGTGCACATGTGTGTGCACGTGCGCATGCCACAGCACCGTAAATGACCTAGCAGGAATGGAGCTGTTCTAAGGAGATAATGTTTTTCTCAATCAATTATCAGACTATTCAAGAAATGACCCCAAAGAAATAGGAATTTGCACAGAAATCACATGCTGGGAGCAGGGAAAGTCACCAGCCAGAGGGGAAACTTGTCTGCTAGGAGAAAGTTTTACAAAATTCTAACAACTTGTCAGACCAGTTTACGGGATGAGACTGAGGCCCAGACAATGATGCGGCAATGGTAGGGAGGACCTCACCTTGACCAGGAATGTTCAAACTAAATGTGGATGTTTACATTGTGATCTCATTTCAAGTCCCCAAAGATGAACTTGGGGCATGCACTGGATCTCTTCGTCTTTCTTCACAGTGTGACCAAACTGGACAAATCTCTCTTTTTGCTTTCCACTAATAATTTGGCCCCTTTAAAATATGTGTGTGTATGTGTGTGTGTGTTTTTATTTAATGTGTCTAGGTGTTTTGCCTGCATGTATGCCTATGTACCATGTGCATGCAGTGCCTGAAGAGGTGAGAAGAGATCAGGTCAGATCCCCTGGAACTAGAGTTAGAGATGGTTCTTAGCCATCAGATGGGTGCTTGGCATTGATCCTGAGTCCTCTGGAAGAGAAGCCGGTGCTCTTAACCACTGAGTCATTTCTCCAGACCCCTAATTTGGTTCTTTCTTTTGGCTTAGTGAGTGGTGGAACCTGGTTCAGACCACTTAGTAATGAACTAAACAAGTAAAAGGTATAAAAGTTGACGGGGAACTATGCAACTGAAACAGGAAGAGCCCGAAGACGGGGACTGTCTGACAACCCCGTCTCCCTTCACTCACTTTAAGGACATTTATTCTTGTCAGCTGAGTTTTCATGTTTTTATTTGACAATTTCAAATCGCTAAGCTGCTTCTGGAGTCTCTGGATTTTCTCCTCCATTCTTGGGGCTGCAGCCATCTTCGAGTTCTGCTCGATATCCAATAACATTTCTAACTGTTTGAACTTCCTGTGTTTATCTGTCTGGGCAGGCCGAGTCCTGGAGTTTTCCTGTGTAGATAAGAGTATTGAAATTAAGAATTACACTTTAATATGTTCTGGGTGAGGCTTAATGCTAACCGCATAATTAGAATATCTGTTGGCATAAATATGAACTAATCAAATCATCAGGAAAATCAAATGTGTAAATGAAAATGACTCAGTGCCATAAAAGATATAGTTAAACAATCAATTTTGTAATAAGTATTATGTATTAACACAGATTCACCCACCTTTCTGAGAATGCATTAAAATGTATTAAGTATTTGGATAAATATTCACCCACAACATGATGTACGCCATAATTAATAATGGAAAAAATGGAACCCATGCAGTTATCAAGTCAGAAGAGCTAAATTATGCATAGGAAAATACACATTCCCTGGAAATTACTTCTAAAATATCTCTTATAATTAATAGTGATGTTGCTCAATGAAAAAGTATATAGTAAAAGGCTTCACTTATTTCAGTTGTGTTCAAATATTCATAGAATGCCAGGTGGTGGCGGCACATGCCTTTGATCCCAGCAGAAGGCTGAGTTCCAGGCCAGCCTGGTCTACAGAGCAAGTTCCAGGACAGCCAGAGCTACACAGAGAATTCTGTCTTAAAAACCACACACACACACACATTTGTGTATATATTTATATATTCATAGAAGATAGTCAAAAGAAAATATTCCCATTTGACACTGTTGCCTCAGAGTCTTGGAGTTTATTGGTGTTTTGGAGGAGGGTTTGTGAGACAGGTGCTCATGGATCTCTGAACTAGAACCCACCATGTTGCTGAGGGTGTCCCTAACTTCTGATTCTCCAGCCTCTGCCTCCAGAATGATGGGATTATGTAGCATGAGGGGCCAGCTTGTTGGGGTATCTGTCCTGCCCAGTATCCCACAGTTGGCAAGCCCCAAAGAAATCACACACAGGACTCCATAAGATTATAAACTGATTGGCCCATTAGCTCAGGCTTCTTGTTAACTCTTATAGCTTATATTAACCCATTATTCTGATCTATGTTAGCCATATGGCTTGGTACCTTTTCCAGTGGGGCAGGTTACATCTTGCTTCTCTATGGTCTGGGCAGGAATGGAAGAATGCGCTTCCTCCTTCCTAGCCTTCTCCTGTTCTCATCGCCCCGCCTCTACTTCCTGTCTGGTTGACCCGCCTCTACTTCCTGCCTGGCCAATCAGCGTTTTATTAAAATACATGATTGACAGAATACAGATAATTCTCCCGCACCAGGATTACAGGCATGTGCCATCATGCCAGGTTATGTGTTACTGGGTACGAAACCTAGGACTTCCTTTAGGCTAAGCAAGCGCTTTACCACCTGAGCTTCCTCAGCCCATGTGTTTAGATCTTTATTACCTACCACCTGACTGGAGTGACTTCTTAAGCCCAATAGTTTTCTTTCTTGGTGTTCTGAGTATCTTAGGGATTTTCAATGTGACTTTTCTCATTATATTGTCTATATGAATGTATTTCTTTGAAATCTCCTCTCTTCTCCCTCCTTGTTTTCTCTCCTCCCCTTTCCTCTCCCCTACCCTGCCCTCTCTTCTCTCCCCATCCCCATTGTGCTGGAAATCAAACCAAGGTTTTTAAATACGCTAAGCACATGTTTTATGACTGAGTTCCACCAAGGGTCCCCAGATTTTTGATTTGCCCCTAGACAGCAAAATATTCTTTTACATTTTCCTTTTCTGTGTATATAAATTGTCTTAGTTCCTTTTCTATTGCTGTAAGGAGATATCATGATCAAGGCAACTTATAAAAGGAAGCACTAAGTTGGGGGGCTTGCTTACAGTTTCAGAGGGTGAGTTCATGACCATCATGGCGGGGAGCACGGCGCAGGCAGGCCAAGAGCTTACTTCTTAGTCACTAGTTAGAGGCAGAGAAAGACTGAGCACAGACCCAGTGACACACCTCCTCCAATAAGACCACACCTCTCAATTCTTTCCAAAACAGTTCCACCAACTAGGAAAGGAGCATCCAAACATACGCACCCCTGGGGGCCCTTCTAGCTCAAACCATCACGCAAGCACTGCTTGTTTTCACCCTCATTAGAAAAGCTTGCCTAGGCTGTCTACTTTACCTTTCTAAAGAACAATTTACTAGTTTGTTTTGACATATGTATTATTTATAGCGGAAACATAATAGACTACAATATAATGTCACTGGAGTTTTTATATGCACTGAGAAACAAGCAAACAGAAAATGTCACCAGACTCAATTGGTTGTGATGTTCGCTTCATTGCAATGGTGAGGTACCACAGCAATGGCTGAACGATGCACGCCTAAGTGATTGGCTCCTGGGATGGCAGAGGCAGAAAGAGGAATGGGACAATTATCACTGCTTTCCTGAGACCTTTTGAAAGGAGAGTGAAAAGAGTGTGCTATTTGTGTTTTCTTAAAACCGAATGAATTGTCTAAATTTTTGCATTTAAATGAATTATTATTGCTCAAAAGCAGGCGCAGAAGGTATGCTCAAGCTTGATTACTATGAGGCAAGTCTTTTTTACATCATTTCAGAGTGAACTTGGCATGGTGACACAGGACTTTAATGGCTGCAGAGACAGGCAGATCCCTGTGAGTTCGAGGCTGGCCTGGCCTCCATATCAAGCTGCAGAGTGAGGTCCTGTCTCAAAAGGCAAAAACAAACGTTACTTCAGAATGATGGAGCATTTTGCTTATATTCACGTATGTGCACCATGGATGTGACTGGTGCTTGAGGAAGCCAGGTTAGGGTATTAGGTCCCCTAGAACTGGAGTTTCAGAGAGCTGTGAGCCATGATATGGGTTCTGGGAATCAAACCCAGGTCCACTGCAAGAGTAACAAGTGCTCTAAACTGTTGAGCCATCTCTTCAGCCCCAATGACAGAGGTTTGGGGGTTTTGTTTGTTTGCTTCTTTCTTCTGTGTTTTTTTTTTTTTCTTAAAAAATACTGAATTGTCCCAGCACTTGGGAGGCAAAGGCAGGTGGATGTCTATGTGTCTGCGGCCAACCTGGTCTGTGTAGCAAGATCCAGATCAGCCAAGGCCATAGGATAAGATTCTGATCCCCGGCGCGTCAAAGGAAACAACACAGCACACGCTGATGGATGAACAGACTCAAAGACCAGCTTAGTCAGTGGTGAGTGAGGTTGTACGTCAAGCCATATCATTCTAGAAAAGTGTGGCGCAGGTTAGCACATGGCACAGAATTCTTTGCCGAGTGGCTGAAATGGAAACAGAAACTCCTGGAAATAAACTGCAGCCGTTCCTGTCCTTTCGGTTTGCCCCTCCCTCACAGAAACATGGGCTCAGGAAGCAGAGAAGGTGGACTGCGTACACAGGGATGGTTGAGAAATGCCATCGTGGCACCTCACCGATGCCCTTCATGTCACCTGTCACGGAACCTTGAATCCCACCACGAGAGAGCAGTTCCTTCCAGTGCACTTCCTGTTTGGCCCATTTAAAAGTGAATGAAGGAGCTGGAGGGATGGCTCGGTGGCTGAGAGCACTGGCTGCTCTTCTAGAGGACCTGGGTTCGATTCCCAGCACCCACATGGCAGCTCACAGCTGTCTTAACTCCATTTCCAGGGGACCTGACACCCATGGAAAAACGCCAATATACATAAAAAATAAATAAATATTTTAAAAACTGCGATTAAAAAACGTCTTTTAAAGAGAATTAAGTTATATATCAGTCAGAGGAGTTGGTACATGTCTCTAATCTCAGCTAGACTATGGAGACAGGGGCAGAGGAACTATAGATTTAAGGTTAGCCTTGGCTACATTGAGAGTTTTGGTCTAGCCTGGGCTATATTATATTGTCAAACTAAATCCTGTCCAAAAGTAATATTAAAAATAAGATTCATATTAGCAAGCACCATTATAATACTTATCAAATATATGCACAATACATAAGAGAGATAAAAGATGAGGGGCTTTTTTAGAAAATCAAAAGCAGTAAGGCTTTGAGGCAAATTCCCCTCTTTCTCATTCCCAAGAAAAGTATAAGCCAGATGTGGTATACACTGTGCTCCCAGCACTTGGGGGGCTGAGATGGGGTTGTTGCAAGTTTGAGTACAGCCAGGGCTACACAGTAAGATGCTAACACATACATACACACAAAATAGAAAGACATAAATAGCCTCAGCAGCTTTAGTCATGTTTAAGCTATTGATAAAGTAGAGTAAAATGTGCCCCGTCACCCTCGGGAGACGCTTACCTTCTTCCTGCCCGTGTCGAAACTCCTCGGGGAGTAGTTGACGGCAGCCTGCCCTTCCAGGTGTTGCAGGGGTCTTTTCTGTCCAGTGTAACTTCCCTCAGTTTGGGGCAGCCTTGCAGCAGCTTCTTCATAAAGGTGGTACAGCTGCTCCAGTCTCTCAGTGAGCATCTGAGTTTCCTGCTGCAGGGCTTCGGTTTTCTGCAAGGCGTGACATTAAGTAAACATTCCCAGTGCTCCCTGCGTCCCACGCCATTCCAACTACATACGAGTTCTGCTTCTATAGACGCGGAGGTGGCACTGAGTGACTAGATAGACGAGTGGATTTGACACGTACGGTTTTATTGTGTGTATGTGTGTTTTGCCTACATGTATGTCCATGCATCACACATGCTCAGTATCCAAGGAGACCAGAAGAGGTATCAGGTCTCTTGGAACTGGAATTACAAACGGTTGTGAGTCACCATGTGCGTGCTGGGAATTGAACTCAGGTCCTCTGCAAGAGCAGCCAGTGCTCTTATTCACTGAATATGAAGCACAGTCATCTCTACAGCACTGGTTGTTTGGATTTTTGAGACAGATTTCTAATCTATCAGCCAGGACAATCCTGAACTCACAACATTTCTCCTACTTCAGCGTCCCAAGCACTAGTATTATAGCTATAGATCATACATCTGGATATATCCATTGTTTTAAGAAATAAGTAGGTACACAAAGATAAAATATATTCATAGTGGAAAATACAGTTGCATAATGATTTTCGTTGCTGTTCTTTGGGACAGGGTCTTGCTATGTAGCCCAGGCTGCCCTGGAATTCATAATGATACCCTCAGCTTCTCACATCCTGGGATTATAGGCATGGGCTGTCATGCCCGGCTAATATAGTACTATTATGCAAATGTGTACATAATATAGTACTATTATGCAAATATGTATGGATCCTGTGCTGAACCACACTAAGCACTTCTCATCTGTTAGCCCACTTAATCTTTGCGACCATATTGAAAGTGGGAATGACAGCTCTCCGCTCCAATTTACAAACGGAGCTAAAGTGGTGCAGGGAAGATAAGTAAGCTGCCCAAGAACACCCCGCTGGCAGAGGGTGGAACTTGGAGTCACAGCAGGACTCTGCTCTAACCAAGCTATCGTGTCGCGCTATCGTGTCGCCAATACAGTTGAGGACAGCCTGTTCTCTTCTTCCGCTTAGTAATAAAAATGCAATCAAACTTACAACGAAGGGCTGGAGAGATGGCTCAGCATCCAACACCCAGGTCAGGTGTGGGAGGCACAGAGGTCCTTGTGCTCACAGAGAAGCACTAGGAATGTTAAACATACAGGGTTATCTCTTCAAAGAGAGGGATGCAGGACCCGCTTTCTGCCCTGAAGTCTGGGAGCCGATGCGATTAATAGCCTGGTGACCGTTTGCGTTATCTGTGTGGCCAAGACAGCCACATCGGATGCACCCCCAGATTCTTATGAGTTTGTCAATCAACAGAACCCATCTTTATGAAAGATGTCACATGTACTTTACAGCAAGTTTTGATGTAGTCATATCATAAGGTTTACTGTGCACAAGGGATTGAGTTATTTATCACCAGGGAAGTTTTTCACCAAACTGTGCTGTGTTTAAATATGCCTAAAATAAATTGCTTGGAGCCGGGCGGTGGCGGCGCACGCCTTTAATCCCAGCACTCGGGAGGCAGAGTCAGGCGGATCCCTGTGAGTTCGAGGCCAGCCTGGTCTACAAGAGCTAGTTCCAGGACAGGCACCAAAACTACGGAGAAACCCTGTCTCGAAAATCAAAAAAATAAATAAATAAAATAAAATAAAACAAATTGCTTGGGGTCAGACTGTCAATCAACACTGGCTACGGAGTCACGTTGAACTGAACTCCTTCTTGCTTCCTGAGGATCGTTATCATCTGGCTGGTGGCTGCAGAGGTCCCTCACAGTCAGGGAGCTGACAGCTACTCACAACTCTAGTTCGAGGGGATCTGAGGTCCTCATCTGGCCTCCCTGGGGATGCACATAAGTAGCATACATTCCCATACATATGCACATATACATAAATAAGAAAATAAAAACAAATCTTTAAAAACTGCAACGAAGCCAAAGATCTTACCAATTGGCTAATATCAAAATCTACATATTAAACTAATAAAATTGGGTAAAGGGGGAGATGGCTCAGCTAGTAAAGTGTCTGCTGTGCCAACATGACGACCCAAGTTTAAATACTTACCACTCATAAAAGGCTTGGTACACACCTATAATCCAAGCGCTAGAGACAGACAGGCTGATTCCCTAGAACCCACTGGTCAGTCAAAGTCGCCAAGTCAGTGAGCTCCAGTGAACACACCCAAGTTCAACCTCTGGCCTCCACATGCTTCAACACACGTGTGCATGCATAGCCACATGTGTCGGTACACACACACACACACACACACACACACACAATCACATACGCTAATTAAATGGGAAAGAGCAACTCTTCGACAGTACACTTACAGATTTCCACAGCTGCTCATTTGCACCCATTTCCTGGATCCTCTCCTTCACTGCTTCCTCTGTGGCTAGTATGGGGCCAATGCTGTCACTCAGGAGAGTAGCCAACTGGCCAAGGAAATCCTGGTGATGGGCTTGCTCGGGTGTGGCTTCCCAGCTGCAGGAGTAGGGAGGTCTGTCGAACTCAGAGGCTAATCTTTCTTTGTGGAGCAGATCTTGTTGGTATTTACCCACAATGTTTTGCCCGTCAGATGGTCCTTCAGAGTAAACAATGTCTCTCTCAAAGTCGAAAGCTTCGCCATTGTCCTAAATGTACCAACACACGGATTAAACATCCCATCTGAAACATAATACAGATATATTTGTCCCTTCTTTGAACTATAAGTAATAACACAAAACCTTAGGGGGAAAGAGCCTTGATTAGACATGAGTTGGAGGACAGCCTGGTCTATAGAGCGAGTTCTAGAATAGCCAGTGCTACAAAAAAGAAGCCCTGTCTTGAAAAAATAAAAAAAGAAAGGAAGGAAGGAAGGAAGGAAGGAAGGAAGGAAGGAAGGAAGGAAGGAAGGAAGG